TTTGTATGACAAAAGATTCGGTCTTGAATATTGCAAGATCTCCGTTTGGCAGGTATCGCTGTGTAGAATCGAAAACTACTGAAATCTTGATGATCTTGAAATCACACAAATCCGGGGAATACGACAGCACATGAATAAGAGGAACGATAAACGCAATGGCAAAGCTACCTTAGGAAGCTCCTAAAATTCCCTCAGGATATTAGCATAAAAGCAAGCCTTCCAGGATCGTTTTGCTATCACCTGGTTACTCATGCAAGGTGAGGTCGGAAGAAAGAATCATGCGCATTTACCTGATATCTAGACCTTGGATACCGGCTGACTAGTACAGGACCTCAACTGAAAGCTGAAGGATTGTCCTGTTTTTGATGCCTAGTATCACACAGATACACGTCTCTGTCTTCTCTAGAATTTGAATGAGATCATATGAGGCGAAGAAACGGCAAAGAGTGGAGACGCCGTTCTTGTAATTATTCTTGGTCGATTTACGGATCATAGGATCACCATGTTATCAGCATACTTGATACGTGTCAGAAGAGCATCAAGTTTTTAAAATTCTTCAAAGATAACTTCAGAAATTCTTTATAATGTTTCCCATTCTTTTCAACTGGGATAATGTACGATATTCAGTCACAATGTTCCCTAGCCCGAAAATTGTTTGAATTAGCAGCTGATAAGAAATACATACGGTACGTCCATAACCATTGTATGTTACAACAAGGCGAGTATAAAATATTTGGAGCGATACCTCACAGTAATTGCATCTCAGAACAAAGTAATCTGAAAAGGGCATTTTTCTGAATGCGCATAAGATTCAGTACGATTGATGAGGATTTCAACACCTATCTTACAGCCCGTAAAAGACTGCAGGTTCATCCACCGAAATATATTAATAACCGCAAAATTATGCTAATCAGTGAGGCATTTTGGAGCTGCCCCTTGCTTGTCGATAAGTAGAGGCATCTTTTAGGGCAAAGCATTGATAGTACTTGGATACCTATGGTAAACAAGTCATTTTCTACCATCTTACTGGTTACTTGGAGCAGTTTCGAGTACTCGTTAGTCTGACTGTAAAATAATTCAGTGCTTGAATACCGCACAGCCGTGGTCTACCTCAAATATATCAAATAAGTCCAAAACTGGTGCTGTTGCAACTGAATGTATAAACTCCGGAAAATATCTTCGGCACGTTCTATCCCAAGATTTGTTTTGACTTGGCGAAATGTGAACATATAAAGCGACTGCTGTTAAAACGCTGAAGAGAGTATATTACCATATTCGCTTGAGGTAAATGGGTGTCCTAAAATCCAATCGGCATTCTTCTTTTTTACCTATCTCTCCATTATTTTCTATCCTGGACTCTTCAAAACCGATGTTCGCATTTTGCTCTGAGCCATAAGTTTATAGCACATAATTACTGCATCAATTTTGAAGTTATTGTCATAGAACTGGTGTAAAATATCGTATAAATCTGTGTAACCTTGGGCGCCGGTGTTCTCTCCAGTAACAACTATAGGTTTCATTCAGCAATGTCGTATCTTACATACCTGCATCACGATATGGGTCCAAACGGTGTGACAATCTACCATCAGATAGAAATGAGACGTCCGTCATTCAGTCATTCCTGCCTCAGCTCACAAAATGACAGATCCATTGTTGCTCAGTGATAGAACTAAGAACCCCTGAGCAACTACTTAATTTGCATACTAAACAATGTTTTGTTTTTGTTGTTCTTTAGCGTTGAAAGATCAGGACGTGTTCCGCATGCTCAAGCAATGACATACAATCATTTTTTTAAGATTATTTCCTTGAACAACGGCAGTTGCTATCGGTATGAAATAGTTTCTTCACAAATTTACAAACCTGAAAGGCGCTTCAGTTGGCCCATAAGCATCTAAGAACAAAGAAGCAACACCATAACGACGTGAAGCTAAAGTCGTTACCATACAACGAACAGAGTGCGAGTCACCTACCTCTGATATGTTATCCGCGCTTGCTTCACTCCAATCACTCATTGGTAGGAACGATGTGTATTATTTCAAGCAGGTGACTTCGAACACGTGAATATATAGGTTATCCGAATGCTTCTGTAAAGCCGTTGGTAGGTTTTTGCTCAAAATGGATTCATAAACACCTTCCGCATCAATTAATCTAAAAAAATCGCATCAGCAAACTAAGAATATTAATCAGTAAGAATAGCATCGTGAGAGTAAGGAATTTACATCTGCTCGAGGATCTGTGAAGCTCTATGGTCAACAATTATAGCGAGAGCCGATTTTGATTATAAAAAAATTTTATTCACCTCATACTGTATCAAGCGAAGCTATGTTTCTGAGCATGCCTCATAATTCTACACATCAATCGTGACTCATCCTATCTCCATTCATGCTGGACCAGTGACTGGAACAAGCCTTCTTAATGCTGACTTTTGCATAATATGACGCGTAATCCACAATGCTGGGAAAATCAACAACATAGATTCTGAATCCACTTTGAGGCATAAGGCAAGTACAGACACTACCACACAATGAGTGGCCCAGCATCGCCACAACTGGTGATGGTCTTCTGACGTTCGAGAACAGTACCGAATTACAAAACGACCTCCGAAATCAACCCGCTATACGTCCTCGATTGAAAATACGTCGAAACGACGGTTCTGGCCGATCATCGATTTGATTGACCCCATGTTTTGCGTTACATACAAATAAACCGTTTTACTCTTTTTAGTACCACCACCAAAGCACGAACAAAATAGCCCATAAGTAGATTATCCATATTTGAAATGCTTCACATTCTACGATTATCTGGACTGGGCTAAATATGCTTGTGTACTGTCAAACTGAAAGGACAAAAAATTTTTTGTGTACAAATAAAAAGAATGATAATGTACATATCCGGCCGTACAAAATGAAATACTTGAAAGAGGGAAAAACACACAACTGAAAGAGCTGAAAGTGTACTGAAGTACTAAGCATGGCGCTATCACTGTGAAAGTGAAAGGTTCAGCTGTAATCTAGGTTTGCATGTGAATTTCATTTCATGAGTTATACGCTGAAACATTTAATAATAAACTATCAAATCCTTGCAGAAAATGAGAAACTCAAAGAAACAAGAATGGGGCATAAATGAAACAGTACTATAAATAATAGTGTAGTAAAGAAAGTAGTAAAAACAATGAGCATAGTATGGGAATGAAAGTGCTAGTAAAACAGGTTTAGATGGGGCATGCACTTATCAGCTGCAAACCAGTACTACTAATGCTCTTCCTAGTAGTGCTAGTTAAAATCTACACAGGAATATGAGACCAAATGACTAGATCAAACGAGGCAAACTTTCGCTTAATAAATTACATTAATCGAATAACATATGACCCGGAACAGATGAAGATCCTCGATATATTTCTGGACAGTCGATCAGAAGAAATTCCAGGCAGCACTACTGCGTATCGATGCTGGTCAATTTCGATACGTCTAATAGAACTATATCATTCAATCGCCAAAATAGTTGACATGCGCTGAAAAACGGCAGGGTTTAATGAAGGCCAAAATACGGACCAAAAACTTTGATTGATTGATTGTTAAGAAAACAAAAATCCGTTGCATTGCAAACAAATTTACCATGCAATTTCGAGAAAATGAAGGATGGAATGAACTACCACTACATCCAATAACTGGATGGCCGCGCAACACAGGCTTCCGCTATTACACCTAAATAATTACACGTTAACGTCTCACGAAGCAGCGCGATTTGGGTGGTACTAGGCAAAAACGCTGTTTGCAAGTCCAATAATCAAGTTTGATAATCATATGCACAATTTTTACCGTAATCGAACATGAATGAAGAAAATACCTCAAATTCAGTTACAAAAGCAAACGTTACGGGATACGACATGCGCCGAAATCTTGTGCCGATACAATTTACAAGACGCAATTTGTTGTTAATACCTGCGATTCATACTTTTTCAATAATACAGTAACCATATTCCGTCTTCCTTGTTCGTTGGCGGTTGTCGTCTTTTGTACGTAGCTACAAGATCATGTGAGTGACATGTCATGTTGAAAGCTGTATTGCGTTTCTTTGGGCGTGCGGGTGTAGTGCTTTTTTTCAATAAGCCGGTCAAAGATTTGTTGGTGGACTTTGCTTGTTGATTCGGCTACGGCATGAATGAATTCTGATGCTAGTTTTGGAAACTAGTGCCAAGTTGGTAATCGACAGTCGACTATGGATGACGTATTTGATTTTCGTATTGTTCTGCTCTGCTGTAAGCAAACGGCAGTGCTTCGCTTCGCCGTCGTCGTTGGTCGACCTGAGCAGGCGTGCATTTTCGCCGCAGGTCCCACATTCGGCACCAGACACCCCTCAGCTGTCTCCTGAACGGACGGAACACTTGTGAGTTTTTTTTGACTTGTTAGTTTTTTGCCATTCCTAGGTTATTTTTAGAGATCTGTCACACAATGACCTCCGGTCATTGCCGTCTTCCCTTTTGGCTTCGTTCCGGAATCTGAAAGCGCTGTAAGTTACGAGATTTCAAAATTTATGTTTCTTTGTGCTTTCCCGCCAAGTGTTTTTCAGTTGACGATCGTTATCACGGTTAGTTTCGCTGTATTACAAATTCGTACGAAAAAATTTACGAGATGGCTTAAAATTTGTGCTTCAGCTTATGATATGAAACATAAACGTAGGAAAATTCAAAAATACTAATTAATCAACGCTTGTCAGCTTCATAATTGCACAATACTTCCAAAGACTTTAGAAGTAAACACAATTTGCTTCTTGTAAGTTACGTCGCCCTATTTGAGTAGATTAAATGTTTTATTCGCGGCTTTTTGTTTTCCTTGTTTTGATTATTCTTTCATCTTCGTCTTCCATCGCATCAGCTAATTCATGTTCTTTTCCTCTGAGAGAGGATATGTTCCAATTTCCGACTTTAAGCTCCCACTGGTGATGTCGTTTTCATGGAGCCTTTTCTGACGTGCTGTAATGGCATCGCGTTGTCTGCCTCCTCCGTTCAGAACGGATAGCGACTCCGTTGCTGACTGGTAACTTCGTCGTCGTTGTGTCGGTCTTCGTCAGCCGTCGTTGTGCTGCCACGCCCCCGGCTCGCAGAGGGCAATGAGCAGGTTCTGAT